TAACATAACATAACATAACAACGGCAAAACACCAGGTATATCTCAACCATCCCATGACCTCTGACAGCTTTCTTTTCTGTAATAAGTGACTGAAGTTTCACTACCAAGATTCATTACCAAGTGGTAATTCATTGTAAGTTTGCATAGTTAGACATGGTGTATTTTCAAATACCATATTTACCCGGGTATAAGCCCAGGGTCCTGAACATGGAAAATTGCCAAAAAGAAGGGGTTTGCCAGGAGATCCCAGGCAAAAAAAACGAATATTCGCGAAAATAGACAACACGCAGATCGAACTGCGGCAGGGAATAGATCGGCAAATGAAAACATGCAACGCAAATAAATGAACAATATGTAACACTAGAAGTAAAACAAAAATAATGTATTGCTTATAATGTGACAAATAAATCAGAAAAAATAAAAATCGACAGTGAAGAATCATTTGAATTAGGATTTTCCCACCAACAAACACGCCCAATACGCGTGAACTCGAAATGAATTAAAATGTCAGGGGTTAAACTGCGTAAAATAATTTCCGGTCTCGACAAATTACGAATCAGCCGTCATACAAGATCAATAATAATTTACAAATTTCCACAGTAAAAATTATAAAAATTCATAGCTTCTTGTATCTTTATTTGTACGTTTATTGCCATCCTCGTCAAACTCAAAACCCCCAAAGTCCAAGTCGACGTCACTGTAGCCGTCGAACAAAATCCCTACAACTTGTTCCTGAAGTTCATTGATCCCACACAATTTGGACTTGGCACTTTTAATCCATGGATTTCGCAGTCTGTCAGCTTGGCACTTTTCATTCATATCTAATCACAATAAAGAGACAAGAAAAATGGGGTCGCTCTGCTGCGATGGCACACGATGCTTTTGTTTAGTCTAGCAATCATTTTTGACACCTTTATGCATCTGCTTTACTGATTGGCTAAGAATGACATGACTACTACTAGTATTTCATCATAAAGGTCAAATCGTGACATTGCTTTCTTATCAGACTCGACGCTTATCAATCACGGTGAAAGTTAATATTCAGCAAGTTCCGGCAGTTGGAGTGTTTCACTATATAGATATCGTGGTGGACTTGAAATAGGAAGGTTTTTTTTTATCCAACGACAGAAGAATAGTTTTCATGACAGAAATGCAATATCTGTGATGAAAGATGGTAAAAAAGTTGGCAGTCTTCGGCGTGACATTGCAAAATTGCTGGCCCCAGTTATGGATTCGCAAGCTGCTACAAAATATTTATAAAGCCAAAATAACGCGATTTCAACCACTCTCCCAGGTACTGGTTGCTACAATATTGCAACATTGGTTTTATTGTTGACGACGCTAAAGCCGAACGAGTGTGACACTTGCTTAGCAGCTCTCCTTATACCATTTGCTTGAATCGTTTCTAAGGAAGCACAAACCAAACGGCCGGCCCTTTTTAGGGCCACGACATATTTCAAAAAGAGAACAACTGTTTCTGCTTAAATATATATTTTCATAGACTTGCTGACTGTTATGATTCTGAAAAAAATCAGCGGTGAACGCGCTGCCTTGAAGGCAGAAACCTGTCACAGCTATTTCGCCCATTGTTTTAATACAATTAACAATTATATTTAAAGAATTTTTATGAGCATCACGACAGACTTCAAGAAAGTCAACTGTTAATACAACCACAGTCAACGAATAGAAAATAGTTTTTTTGTGTGTGTGTGTGTGTGTAGAAAAAGACCCCCTGGGCGTGTGCCCGGATATGGCCTTAACTTCTTTATTGTGTCAAAAGTGGGGGTGGGCATTTGCCCAGGCATGGGCTCTTACCCGAATAAGTACGGTAATATTTGTAACTGACAGAGGTTTGATAAAACTGCAATGTACCATTATAGTCCTATTATAAGCCGCAGCCCAATTAGAAAGGAAAGTCACCATCTCTTCTGAGAACTCCGAGCTTGTCTCATCCAAATTCATTGCTTGCGCTAATTTGCGTATAATTAGCATATCTAATTTGCATATAGATAGCATACCAATCACATATTTAAAAAAAAATTCTTAGCACTTTTATATTTACACCAACCTCAAATACTGTGTACAAGTACTATATTAATGTTCATGAATTATTTTGATGAATAAATTAAACCACTTGATGTAAAAAAAATATCAACCACAGATAACGAATATCCATTTTATTCTCTGTAATGTAACAAG